TACTTTATATCTGTTTAAATTCTAAAAGTGTTTTTCCTATCGACTGTCACTGGTTGAGCTTTTAATGGAAATATATTTAGAAAATCTTTTGCAGTGCAAATCCACTAGCAAAGTATGTTCTTGTGCACAAATCGACCCAACACAAAACTTTTTGAATGAAGTTTAAAAATGTATAAATCAGTCACCAAATGGTGAACAGTTTAATAAACGTAGAAAATTTGAGAAAGTATGAGGAGCAGCTAGAATCAATAAAAAAAATGATACAGTGTTTCTAATAAAATCAAGAATTGTTCAGTCTTCCATTCCATCGAAGTCCACCAGCTGGCACATCAATATGTGTTAAGGCAGTTAGCTCTTGAAGTATTTTTTACATTTTTTATCTGTGTATTTGTGGAATGGCCATGGCCGAGAAATAACACTGTGATAATATTGTGGCACTATGTGTATGTTTTCTATTTCTCTCATTAACCAGTTAGGATTCTTGGAGTTTTTAACGCATCCGACTAATTTCAAAATGTCTGATTTTATTCCATTGCTAAGTAAGCTTAGACAATGATAGATACAGGGGGTAGTGGTAGACATACTTGGGATTCCCGTAACTCAGTTGGATCAGAGATTGAATTCTTATTTATCTTACTTTAAACTCAGTCATGTAGAAAAAGGTAGTGTGCTCCTGTTGGGGCAGCTATGCCATTTATTTTTCGGGAAAAGGAGATATGTAAATGATGGGGGTTGGAGGTCAAGTGGTCTTCAACTTAGAGACTTATTTTACATGATGTATGGCAGTTGTATAATGAAATAGAATGGGAATTATCACTGGCTTTTGGATTGATAAAAGTGATGTGCTGGAATATTAAATGGCTTATGGTGAGCAGCGCCCTCTATTGATGAATATGATAAATGTTTGTTGCAAAGTTAGGCAAATTTAGTTCTGGTTGAAATGATCGTCACTATTATTTCTAGAAGTAAAGTTTTTCAGCTTATTACTTCATATATTTTTTTAAAAGCATATGAGCTGCATTTTTTACTAATTTTGTATTTTTTAATAAAGTTTACCAATCTAAAATGTTTTTTTGTAAATTGCACATAGAGTACTGAAAAACCTGTAGCCAAAAAAATGTCCCTTTGGTATAAAATTAGGAAAAAAATTATAGAAAACTATATGTAACGTTTTATTAAAATGTTGGCGGGAAAATTATAATAATCAAATTTTTAACTAACTTATGTATTTTTTTCCAAGAAAATTTTGATAAAAATTAAAAATGTGCGAAAGATCTTTTGCTGTAACTAATTAATAAAAGTATGAATAATAATTTTCTAATATTAATTTTTTGCAGATTATTTGGAACAAAGTGCAATGGTTGCTTGCAGTCTATCACATCAAATGAACTTGTGATGAGGGCGCTCTGTAATGTCTACCACCTCAGGTGTTTTAACTGTATCATATGTAACCAACGGTTACAGAAAGGTGATGAGTTTGTTGTCCGAGATAACCAGTTATTTTGTAAAGTAGACTATGAAAAAGAGTATGGTTCAGTGCAGCTCAGTAGTCCACAAGGTATGACTTATTTAATTACTTTTTTAAAATATTTTTTGCTATTTTCAAATTTAAATGAAAGAAAACAGAGTTAATGTGATAGCCTTTCATAATAATCTTTTATTATATAATTTCGTTTTCCAGGCCACCATTCAGAAGATGATAGTGATGTCATTGACGAAGGTTACCTTGACAACAGCGTCTCCAATACTATGGATGATAATTCTGGAAACGATAGTGACACAAACAGCACAGATACAAAAGGCAATGGTGGAGATGGTCGAAAAGGCCCAAAGCGACCAAGAACAATATTAACCACAGCACAAAGAAGGGCTTTCAAACAGTCTTTTGAAGTTTCACAGAAACCATGTCGAAAGGTAATAACAGTTACTGATTGTCATGAAATATTGAAAATTTGCAGGGCTATGTTTTGTGAAAGTCCAAAAAATATCAGTTAGCTCCAGATTTGTTCTTGGCTCATATTTTGTGACTTTAATTTTAATTTGCGTGGGTGTGTAATAACATGAAATCCAAACCAATATATCCAGAATCCAGAATCCAGACCAGTCTGGTGATATATCAAGAATCCAAACCAGTCTGAAGATACATCCAGAATCCAAACCAGTCTGAAGATATATCCAGAATCCAAACCATTCATAATCACCTCAAAACTTAAACTTGTTATATTATTGAAGTACTTGCACATGACTACCTTGTTCTTTTCTAAGAAATTCACATTTTGATTACCACATTCTGTTTTTCAGGTGCGAGAATCGCTTGCTGCAGATACAGGACTTAGTGTACGTGTCGTGCAAGTTTGGTTTCAAAACCAAAGAGCCAAGGTAACTATGACATTCCTGATTTACCTAATTTTCTTCATTGTCATGAGTCCCTGGTGGGTCTTCACACAGTTTACGTTCAGAATAAATAATAATATGAAGTTATTTTGAGAATATCACATGTATTCCTCTTAAAATTATTTCTGAAGGCTGAATATTCTCATGTTCATATATTATTTGTTTTGTAGATGAAGAAAATACAAAGACGTCAATTGCAAGAACAGGGACAAAATACTGATGGAACATCACCAAGGCGATTGTCGTCACGGTCACAAAATAGGAGGGCACTCAAAGATAAACAAGATGAAAGTAAGAGAATTTAAAATTATTTCTGTGTGTGTCAACTTTTTGTCATCTTTCTCAAAATAAACCTGCATATACTTTTTTGGAGAGAAGAAAAAAATCAAGCCAATGTGACTTTTGTCTAAAATTATCATAGAATTTTTGAAGCTGCCAGGTCAAAGTTTAATATATTTGTATCTATTTAATATAAATTTCCAGTTACCCACAATCCTTTGCCAGTCCAGGCAGCCTTTTTTAATTGTAATGAGGTAAATGGACCTGTTTGTTTGTTATTTCATTTTCCACATCACAAAGCTAAAGTCAAGGAAACAACACAAAAAACAACTTTGATGTTATCTTGAGCAAACAAATTTATATATGTTGCACATGTAGTGGTAATCTTGTTACACTGTTCAGGAGAGTTTCAACAACTAGCCCACAGTACAGTTTTCTGAGATTTTTAGGCCTTTGTTTTCACTGTGATGGTTGCCATGCGGTGAAATTATCAGGATGTCCGCCCCCGATAATAGACAATTATCCTTGCACTGTGAGATCCCATGTTATGCGTGAAATTGAACATTACAATAGGACAAACAAAAGTCATAGCATCAAAACATTGGTTTTGACAAACACAAAAGTAGTTTTGAAGTGTTTTTAGCTTAATATTGTGGTGTATAGCATAATTATGTTCATTTATGATAAAGAAAAATGAAAAACATCTTTATTAGTTGTAACTATCGAATGTTTATGTTGTCTCCATGATGTCATCATCTGAATTTTTTTTTTTCTCAATTCCAGGTAACTACAGTCTAGATGAAGATACAGATCTAAAAGATATAAAATACACAATGCCCGAAGATATGATGAATCATGGTTACCATCACCAATCTATTCAACCTACCCTCCCCCATTTACCACCAAATATGGAACCTTCCTACCCACAAACTCCCATGTTTCCAAGCAACCCCATGACCCCAATGCAAGGTCAAAGTATGTATCCAGGACAACCAGATCACATGTTTGATGCTGCACCAATGGATGGAAGAATGATGGATGAGAGTGGTCTCCTAGCAACCGCTCAGACTAACCACAGTCCTGATCATATAACAGTTGGTAACAATGGTAGAATGGGAAATCCCATTGATAAGTTGTACTCAATGCAAAATTCATATTTCAATGGATCTGAATAGTATATATAGGAGTTCAGTTTCACTAGAAATGTTATTTACGTTGTGTTTATATTTGTGTTTGCGTCTTCTCAGTCGCATTGTTACTATCATGACATGAACTTTAATGGAAATATGATGCAGTATTATTTAAATGAGATATCCTTATATGGAATTGGCATGTCCTTATATGGAAATCTGATATCCCTATATGGAGTGGTCATGTCCTTATATGGAAATTTGATATCCATATATAGAATTATTGTATCCTTATATAGAAATCTGATATCCTTATATGGAATGCTCATGTCCTTGTACAGAAATCTCATTTCTTTATTCAGAAGTTGATGCCAGTTTGATCCCTCAAAGATACAGATTTTTGTGTCTCAACATGGCTGGTGCCACTTTTTAAAAATAATGAATGATACATAAAAGGTAGAAATTGACCAGAATTTGAGAAGCATTGATACAAAGTAATATGATTGCATTTCCTATCAGTCCAATCTTATCAACTAGTATATTTTCACCATTTTTCACACTTCTATATTTTGATGTAACCATGGTGATTGTGTCTGTTTGTCTTTCACTGTGTATGCTTGAAGTTATCTAGCATTTTATCTAAGTGCAATATTGGCTGGGTAACCATGATGTACAGTACCTTAAGCTTTAAATCATTTTTTTACTGCTCATTTTGTCAATACAATTTTTTTTGTAGCTTAGCAACCATTTTGTTTAATTATGACACAAACCCAAATGGCTCCAAAATAAAAAGTGAATGAATACTTAAATTTTTTTAAAAATCTTAGAGAATCATATTTATCAAATTGTATATTTGTTGCACATTTTCAATATCTTTACTTAATATTAATAGCCCATTGAACACCTGCCAACATTTTGAAGCATTATTTTCACATTTTTCTGTATTTTTCTATAATTTCATCATTAATTTTGGACCAAATGGACATGATTTTCCATTGGCTACAAGGGGTAATCAAATTTTTGAAAAAATGTGAAAAAAATTTCACGGCCTTCTTTTTTTTTGTAACAAAAGTTGACTGGTGTTCAAAGGGTTTATAACAAAACTGAAATGATCTGTATGCAGTGTAACTTAAGGGGACTATTTTCCCCTCTTCACTACTACTGAGTGACATTTTGTTCACAAGAACTTAGGGGGACAATTTATCTGCCATTATTTGTGTCAAGTTGGGGTAACCATGATAAAAACATTGAATTTCGGGATCAAAATATTTTTTTTTTTTTTATCTATGATGTAATTTTTGACAGTCATACAGAAAGTAAGCTCATATTGTTATTGTAAAATAGGTTTATAGCTTGATTGCTTTGCAAATAATGTATTTATATATCAAACATTAGAATCTAGCTTTATAAAATTCTGTGTTCAGTTTGTTGTGTTGTTATGTAATGTACATAGAACTATATAGATGTTTGAGGCTGCCAGGTCAAAGTTCAATATATTTGTATCTATTTAATATAACTTTCCAGTTACCCACAATCCTTTGCCAGTCCAGGCAATTCCCATTTTGAATTGTAATAAGGTAAAAGGGACCTGTTTGTTATTTTATTTTCCAAATCACAAATTTGTTTTTTCTATACTGTATCTGTGCATCTATCAATGTAAAACTAGAAAATATACTTTTGGCCATGATTTTACAAATGAAAGCGATTCTCAAGGACTAGTTTTTGAAGTTTACGAACATCTGACACAGTAGGCTTTTACTAATACTGTAAAATACTTTATTTTCACTTGGAATTAATTTTCGCTGAAGGATTGATTCAGTGAAAATAAAATCCAGTGAATATACCTTTTTTCCTAAATTTTACAGTCAACTTGTCAAAAATTGCTGAAAAAAATTCCATACAAAAACTCAAAAATTCTTTTCAGCGAAAATTACTTCAAGCTAAAATAAAGTATTTTACAGTAGTTCATATGAACTGAGCAAATTATGCTTTGGCATAAACTAAATAAATCAATGTGAAATACAGAATGCACACACCCCAGTATTGTAATGACTATTTTATGAACAAAAACTTGTAGAATTCTCATACATGTAAATTGCATGAATTAGGGATTGACCATTTGAAATTCTGGCGAAAGGGGAGATTGTTGATTTCAAAAAAGTAATCTGCACAGAGAACATTTTGAGAAAAAAATGTCTACAGACGGAAAGTTATAAAAAAAAGTGTATTTATAAAAAATTTAGTTCTACTATCCCCCAACTTTCTAATGTTCAACCTCTTATTAAAATAAAAGGTCTCATATTTTCTCGGTACCATATTTGCTTTATTTGAAATGCATCTCTAAAGCACACATGAACTTGAAAAAGTGTTTTGGTTGGATTTTATTATTATATTAAATTTGACACCAAACACTTTTTTAACAGGGTCATCATTTACATAAACATGTGCTACTAAAATACCATATATGATACAGGGTCTATAATAATTCCAACCCCGATTTATTCGTGTGATGAAATACATAGAATTCCGGTTCATATTTCAACTTTTTTTCTTCAGACTTTCAAATAGCCAGTCGCTGGGGAATAATTCAGCTAAATTTTAAGGAATTTTTAAATTGGAAAGCTTCCTTATTTAAAGGTCTCTCACTCAATTCTTAACCTGAACCAGAAACTCCCACACCAGTGTAATTGTATATGCCCCTCTAGTTAACTATGTCCTGAAGAGGAGGGGTGTATACAATTAACACTGAGGGTACTGAGGGGCAGGGTTAGATTAAAGTTATGGATGAGGGAGACTGAGGAACCCCCTAAATCAAGTGTTGGTCGTGTCAATGTATCTTTATGTCAGCTTAGCGAAAAAGGCCGATGTTTCTAAATTGTTTGAGTAAAATCATATTCTGGTATTATTGAATAGACTTATGGATGACCCCTATGGGTCACACATCCTGGTACTTC